TCAAACATTCTCTCCCATCTCTATGTTTTTGCACAGGTTACGTTCTATGCCTGGAATGCACTCCCTCCTCAACTCCTTATCATCCTTCAAGATTCAGTTTAAGTGCTACTTCTTCTATTAAGCCTTCTCAAATCAATTAGCCGGGATTTTTCCCTCTTCAAATTGCCTTCCAGCCATCCTTCACTAAGTTGTCAAAGTGATTTTCCTAAAGCACCGATGTGCAAAGAGCTGCAAAATGAATGGGATAGTATGTCATCCCCTTCTATGAACTCCAATGGCTCCCTATCACCTTCAGGATTAAATATAAAAGCCTTTGTTTGGTATTCAAAGCCCTTTATAACCTGCCTCACTCCCACCTTTCCAGTCTCCTCACAACTTAGACCCTCAAATAAGACACTCCTCACTCTAAGCATTTTCTTTTTCTTTTTTATTTTTTTTTTTAGGCAATTGGGGTTATGTGACTTGCGCAGGGTCACATAGCTAGTAAGTGTCAAGTGTTTGGTCTGAGGCTGGATTTGAACTCAGGTCCTCCTGACTTCAGGGCCGGTGCTCTATCCATGACTCTGAGCATTTTCCCTGGCTTTCCTCCATACCTGGAATGCTCTTTCACCTCATCTTCTCCTACTGGTTTCCTTCAGTTGCAGCTAAAATTCCACCTTATAAAGGAAGACTTTAGAGATCCCTCTTAATTCTTGTTTTATTCTAATTTTATTATCTCCAATTTTCCTGTTTATTGCTTGCTTGTACATAATTGTTTGCATATTTTCTTCCCAATTACACTATGAGCTCCTTGAGAGTAGAGACTGTCTTTTGTTTTCTTTGCATCCCCAGCATGCTACACATGCCTGGCACACAGTAGGCACTTAATAAATGTTTATTGTTATTTATTTGTATATGTATAACAAAATATAACTTCTTTGATGGCTTAGGATCTTGGTTATGTGTCTACTAAGTACACAGTGCTTTGAATATAGTAAGCACTTAATGACATTAAAATCATTTAGTTATCAAATGTATTTGTAAAGGATATGCCAATTCACTTTTTCAAAGGACCACATTATTTTTTTTTGTATATCTTTATTATATTTAATACTAAACCTTGCAAGCAAGAAAGACAGAGAGTTGGAAACCAAGCACTTTACTATAACAATACCATAAAGTACTATAGAGCATGCTAAATATCCAAGGTTCTTTACCATTTTTTACCATTTTTTCATTTTACCATTTGTCCAGTACACTGTATGGGAAAATGAAGCAAATCAAATAACAAGACTGAGATCACATAAAACTATATCAGACATCACAGTTTTGAAAATAAAACTAATAAAATATTAGCAGCCCTGAAGCATGACTAGTTTGTCAGCCACATAATTTACCATGCTTTTTATATATGTGCTTGCTTAGAAAAACAGCTACAACTAAGGCACTAGGATTAAATAGGTCTCCTCCCAGAAGTCTGGGAACAAGGTAAATGTATGAAATAACATATAATATATAGAGGGCAGTGCCAACACACAGGTCAAGGAAGCAGCTGCTTCTCAAACTTCTGACAAGAACATTAATAACAAGCTGCCCAAGTACTGGTCTCTGAAGCTCAGAGATGGTGCAATTCTTACTGGAAGCATGCAGCTCTACCTCATCCTACTCTATGGATTACAGGTATATACATATATATAAACATATATATTGGTTATACATATAGATTACATAGTTATCAAGTGTATTTGGGAAGGACTTGATAGCTTTGTGTTCTGCATATATGCATACATACATATGAAGTCATTGAATATACATATATACAGTTGTTCTCCCACATTTGGACCAAAGTCAAATCCACAGGCATATTATATGACAGGCACTGTGTTAAATGCTAGAATAAAAGGAAAAGAAAAAAGGTTCCTGCCCTCAAGCATCTTCACAGGCATCTTCATGAGGAGACAACATGCAAACAACTATGTGCAAACAGGAACTATAAAAGGTAAAATGGAGGTAATTTCAGAGGGAAGGCAGAAGTACTAATGGGGACTGGAATAGATTTCTTTTTTTTTCTTTTTTTTTTTTGTGGTGAGGCGATCTGGGTTAAGTAACTTGCCCAAGGTCACAAAGCTAGTAAGTGTTAAGTGTTTGAGGCTGGATTTGAATGCAGGTCCTCCTGACTCCAAGGCCAGAGCTCTATTGACTAAGCCACCTATCTGCCCCTGGAATACATTTCTTGCAGAAAGTGGGATTTTCACTGATACTTCAACGAAGCCAGGAAAGCCAGGAGGCAGAGGCGAGGCAGGAGAGAATAACAGGCAAAGAAGACAGTGCAATACTGCAAAAATGCATGTAGTGAGGGATGGATTGTGGAGTAGTTGGAGGGGAGTACAATGTAAGAAGACTTTTTAAGGGAGGAAGGTGCCATATTAGGAAAGGTTTTGGGGTTTTGTTTTTTGTTTTTTGGTTTTTTGTTTTTGTCTCTCTTTTTTTTTTTTTAACAATCCTGGAGCAAACACCTTTCTTTAAAAAAAAAAAAAAAAAGCATTTTATTCCCCCCCATTACATGTTAAAACAATTTTTCAACTTTTTTTAAAGTTTTGAGTTCCAAATTCTATCCCTTCCCTGTCTCTTCCCTAAGACAGTAAGCAATAAGATATAGCTTATACATGTGCAATCATGATATTAGTTACTTTGTACAAGAAGACTTGAATAAAAGAAAAAGAACAAAAAAAAGAAAGTGAAAAATAGCATCCTTCTGTCTATATTCAAACAATATCAGTTCTTTCACTGGAGGCAGATAGTATGCTTCATCATTAGTCCTTTGGGATTTTCTTGGATCATTGTATTGCTGAGAATAGCTAAGACATTTGCAGGTTTCATGGAACAGTACTGTTGTTACTGTGTATAACATTTTCCTGGTTGTGTTCATTTTGCATCAGTTCATGTAAGTTTTTCCAGGTTTTTCTGAAATCATCCTGCTTGTCATTTCTTATAGCACAATAATATTCCATTATAATCATATACCACAGCTTGTTTAGCCATTCCCCAAGGCATTCCTTTAATTTCCAATTCTTAGCCACCATGAAAAGAGCTGCCATAAATATTTTTGCACAAATAGGTCCTTTGCTACCTCCCCCCTTTTTTCTGATATCTTTGCAGTGGTATTGCTAGATCAAAGTGTATGTACAGTTTTATAGCCCTTTGGTTTAGTTCCAAATTGCTCTCCAGAATGGTTGGATCAGTTCACAACTCCACCAATAGTGCATTAGTGTCCTAGTTCCCCCACATCCCTCCAACAGCCATCATTTTAGGAAAGGTCTTAAAAACTAAATTGATATTTGATCCTGAAGGGAACAGGGAGCCACTGAAGTTTATTAAGAAGGAAAGGTGGTGAGGAGATGACATGGTCAAATCTGTGATTTAGGAAGATTGCTTTAAAAGTGGAGCTGAATGGAGGTTGGGCTAGAGTGGGGAGATACTTGAGGTAGAAAGACCAACCAGAAAGCTATTTCAATAGTCCAGGCACGAAGTGATGAGGGCCTGCACCAGAGTGGTGGCAGTATCAGAGAAGGGGACATACATGAAAGATGTTCAGAAGGTAGAATCAACATGACTTGGCAACAGAATGCCTATAGGGTTAGAAAGAATAAGGAGTCTAGGATGACCCCTAGATTGTAAGCCTGGGTGCCTGGGAGGTTGGTGTTGCCTTGCATAGCTCAGAAGAGGGAAGTTAGGAAGAGGGGAGAGTTGGAGTGGGGGGTGGGGGGGTGTGAGAAGCTGAGGGAGATAATAAATTCAGTCTTGGATGTGTTGAATTTAAGATGTCTGAGACATCTAATTGGAGACATCCAACAGGCAGTTGGAAATGTGAGACTGGAGCTCAGGAGAGAGGCTAGGGCTGGATATATGATCTGCATAGAGATAATAATTGAATCCTTGAGAGATGACCAAGGGAGACAGTACCGAGGGATGAGAGTGCCCAGGACAGAGTCTCATATGACACCCACAGTTTAGCAGCACTGATGAGGAGAAGTCAGACAGGTAGGAGAACTAGGAGAGCAGTGTCTTAAAAACCTAGAGAAGGGGAACACATGGAGTGGGGAATACAGCGCCTACGTGCCTGGCGCTTTACAAATATCATCTTATTTGATCCTCACAACAACCTTGCAAAGTAGGTGCTACTATCACCCTCACAGGTGGGGAAACCACGTCAGGCAAAAATTAAGTGACTTTTCCAGGTCATAGAACTAGTGTCTGAGGCTACATTTGAATCAGGTCTTTCTGACGCCAGGCCCAACCCTGTGTCCAGAGTACCACTAGTGGACAGTAAGACACTGATTTTATTGGTGTAACCCTGGGCGAGTCACTTAACCTTTGCATGCCAGCGTTTTCTCATCTGTAAAATGGGGATAACAATATCCCCCTACTTCACAGGGAGGGAGACCAAATAAGCTCATTTATGTCAGTGCTTTACAACCCTTAAAAGCTCAGTACCAGTGTGGATGCCTATCACTAGTGTTGCTGTTGTTCTTTAGCTCCTCCCAGGCTCTCAAACACGGGGGGGGGGGGGGGGGGGGCGGGGGGGGGGGGGGGGAGGGGGAAGAGGGGAGAGGGGGAGAGGGAAGGGGGAAGGGAGATGGGAGAGGGAAGGGGGGAGAGAAAGGTAGAAGAGGGAAGGGGGGAGAGGAAGGGAGAGGGGGAGGAGAAGGGAGAGGGGGAGGGGGAGGAGTAGTACTCCCACTCCCCTGGTTTACAGAAGAGAAAAATTGGGGCACTCAAAGAAAGGAAGAAAATGGACGGGTTGAGAAGGAAAGAGGTCAAAGAGAAAGAGGTTGGAAGGCGCTGGGGGAGCCGGAAGAGAGGAGGTGAAGCTACTCTATTCCGCCAGCCCAGCTCCAACACTGAGGGGGAGGGGCCACTCCTCCACCGGCTTCTCCCCCCCTCCCCGCGTCTCCGCGACGTCCTTGCGTCACACCCTGAGTGACCCGGTGGGTTTGCAGCCGCCCCAGGCTACGGGAGGCGGGACTTCCGGTCACGCTTGGCAACCAAACCTTCCGGGAGACTAGCGGCTTTTGTGGACCCAGAGCGGCGATCCGATCCTTTTGGGTAACGCTCTGTCTACCTCCTTCTGCCTTTTCCTAACCCACCCTCTGACCTCCGCCGCCAAAAACACCTGCGCCCCCAGATAATACCCCCTCGGCATCCTGAGGCTGCGACCGAGTGACCGGGGACCTGCCGGCTCACTCCCGGGGTCTCCTCATGGCTTCTCTTCGGGGTTCAGGAGGAAAACGGACAGGGGCGGGGGGGGGGGGGGAGAGACCGAGGAAGAGAAGGGACCCGGAGTGAAGTAGTTGACATCAGGATCCCTGATAGGAAACTATGAGGAACCCTAACAGTGCAGATGGGGAAACTGAGACCCGGAGAGAAGTGACTTGGCTAAGGTCACCTCAAGTTGCAAAGTGACAGGGCCAGGATTCAGACTCAGCTTTTCTTACGCCTTAAATCACAAAGCTTGGCTTCAGGTTTTCATAAATGAACGAAGAAAGCATTTATTAAGCGCACGAATTTGGGTAAAGCGCTGTGCTAAGTGCTGATGAAACAATAATGATGGCGTTATGTGGATTTTATTATGTTAGAAATTTTTTATTGTTGTTGAGTCGTTCTACACTCTTGTCTGACTCTTTGTGACCCCATTTGGGGTTTTCTTGGTAGAGGTACTGGAGTGGTTTACCATTTCCTTCTCCAGTTCATTTTACAGATGAGGAAACTGAGGCAAACAGGATTAAGTGACATGCACAGGGTCACACAGCTAGTAAGTGTTAAGTGTGTGAGGCCGGATTTGAACTCAGGTCTTCATGAGTCCAGGGCCAGTGCTCTGGCCATCTAGCTGCCCCCCAAAAACAAGTTTCTTCCAAAGTTAGAAAAGGTTGGTTTGTTGCGCTTATATTTCGATCATCTTAGTGATTGCGATCAAATTCAAGAGAGTGCCTATTAAGCACCCCAGTTGTTGAAATGGATTTAGTCCAGGTGAAAAAGCTGTTGCAAAATATTTTACATTTTGTTTCAGAGACATGGGAGTAATATGTTTTCTAGTTCTGTTAGTTAATCACTTCCGTGTCTATGGTAAGTACTACTTCTAACGCTTACTAGCTGTGTGAGTAACTTAATTTCTCCGAACCTCAGTTTCTTCATCTACAACATAGAAATCATTATATCACAGGATTGTTATGAAGATAAAATAGTCCACTACATCGTTCACTCTGCAAGCATTTATTAAGCACCTGTGTACCAGAGACAGTGCTAGGTCTTGGGCATGCAAAGAAGAAAATGAAACAACATCCTCAAAAAATTTGTGTTATGTTGGAGAAGGACAACAAGTACATGTATGCGCGTATCAGAATAAATGCAAAGTAATGGGGCAGTGGGTGGAGAAAGGCATTAGCAGCCGAAGGGATTAGAAAAGTCCCCTTGTACTGGGCTTTGAAGGAAACTAGGGATTCTCAGAGGCAGAGGTGAGGAGGGAGTGCATTCCAAGCATGGAAGCCAATCTGTGCAAAGAAAGGAAATGAGAAATGGAATGGTATGTTTGGGTGCAACAAGAAGGCCTATTTAGCTGGAGTAGACTATAGAATGCATACAGGGAAGAAATATATATTAAGTCTAGAAAGGCAGGTTTGAAACAGGTTTTAAGTGATTTTAAATGCCAAACCTTGGAATTTGTATTTGATCCTAAAGGAGTTAGGAAGCCACTGAAATTTATTGAACAGGGGAAACAGACCAATACTTTAGGAAAATCACTTTGGTAGCTATGTGGAGGATGGAAGCAGGAGCAAGAAGAAACTTTTGAAGCAGGTAAAGCTACTAGGAAGCTGTTGAAATAATTTAGGTGGTATCTGCCAGAAATGTGGAGATAGAAATTATGTGGGGGTAACAGTGAGATGGGAATGGCCATTGAGGTTGCAAACTTTTTTTTATTAATTTCATTTGAATTTTCCTTTCTTCCCTTGGAACCCCATATTTCTTCTGTTCATTGATGATTTGTAATTATGAGTTTTAAGTAATGATATTGATTACAAGAACTAGGCAGAAAAATAAGTCTAATACTTAGATACATGTTATTGATGTACAGAAGACTATACAACATAATTATTTCCCTTTTTGCATTTGATAGACTTCTTTTCATTTTTTAATCATTCTAAGGCTGCTAGACGTAGATCAACACCTCACACTCTATTCATAACAAGATAAGCTCAAAATGGATACATGATTTAGACATAAAAGGTGATACCATAATCAGTGGAGCATGGAAGAAATTACCTTTTATGCCTGTAGGTAGGGGAGGAGTTCATGACTAAATAAGATAGAGAGAGGTTCATAGGAGGTAAAATGGATAACTTCAGTTACCTAAAATTTAAAAAAAAGTTTTTGCACAAACAAAACCAGTGCATTTAAAATTAGAAGAAAAGCAAGAGACTTGAGGAAAAAATCTTTGCAGCAAGTGTCTCTTTTAAAGGTCTCATTTCTAAAATATATAGGGAACTGAGTAAAATTTATAGGATTAAGAGTTATTCATCAGTTGCTGAATGGTCAAAGAGTTTGAATAGGCTCTCTAAGCTATCAATAGCCTTATTAAAAAATGCTCTAAATTATTAATAATTGTTTATTCGTTTCAATTGTGACCAACTCTTCATGACCCCATTTGGGGTTTTGTTGACAAAGATACTAGAGTGGTTTGCTATTTCCTTCTCCAGCTCATTTTACAAAGAGGAAACTGAGGCAAATAGGGTTAAGTGACTTGCCCAGGGTCACACAGCTAGTCAGTGTCTGAGGCCAGATTTGAACTCAGGAAAATGAGTCTTCCTGACATCAAGCCCAGCACTCTATCATTCCCAATAGTTGGGGGGAGGGAGAGGAAAAGGAGAAGAGAATTTGAAACTGAAAATAAAATTAAATTGAAAATTATATATATTATATATATATATAATATATATATATAGGTAGAGCTGAGATGGTGGAGAAAAAGCAATGACTCAAGATAGCAACTCACCTGAGCTCTCCCCCAAACCCCTCTGAACACCTTTAAATAATGCCATAAAACAGCTCCTGAAGCAACAGAACCCACAAAAGGACAGGGTGAAATAATTTTCTAGCCAGAGACAACTGAGAAGGTCAGCAGGAAAGGTCTGTCACACTGGGGTGAGAGTGGAGCACAACACAGACCCAGCCCCAGCAAACCAAGAGCAGGCCTTGGGAGCCACTGAATCAGCAGTGGCATCAACTCCTTCTGGAGCTCTCAGCCCACAGACAGTGAAGAGGTTGAACAACTGGTCAGAAGGATATTGCAGGGGGTCTCTTTGCTAGCAATGGGACCAGAATCTGTTGCTTTGCCCAACTCACATCCAGGTCACGGTCCTGGGAGGCAGACCCAGGGTGAAGAAGAGCGCTAACATACCGCAGCTTGCAGTCACAGCGGAGCAGGGGCCCTCAGTAAAACTGAGTATAATCCTTCAGGGGAAAAAAAATGGATATTCCAGAGCAGAAAAGAGCTCTTGGGATTGTTCACAGACCAGAGCACAGGCCAGGAGAATAGTACACACACCCTTCCTTAGATTCTTCTACCTTGGAAGAACTAAAAACTAGTTCCCTAGGAAACTAGGTCCCTAGAATGTCTCTAAAAACAGCTGCACAAAACCCCTGAAGCTTCGGACAATTTGCCCACCTAGGAAGCAGAGCCCTACTTTAACAAAGAGTTAAAAGTCAAGAAATAAGCTGGGAAAATGAGCAAACAACAGAAAAAAATTCTGACCATAGAAAGTTACTATGCTGACAAGGATGATAAAGACACTCTCAGAAGAAAATAACAAAGTCAACCCTCCTATATCCAAAGCCTCTAAGAAGAATATGAATTGGTCTCAGGCCATGGAAGAGCTGAAAAAGGATTTTGAAAATCAAGTAAGAGAGGTAGAGGAAAACTTGGAAAGAGAAATGAGAGCGATGCAAGAAAATCATGAAAAATGAGTGAACAGTTTGGTAAAGGAAACACAGAAAAATACTGAAAAAAATAACACCTTCAAAAACAGACTAGGCCAAATGGTAAAAGAGGTACAAAAAACCAATGAGGAGAAGAATGCCTTCGAAAGCCAAATGGAAAAAAGAAGCATAAAAATTCACTGAAGAAAAAAACTCCTTAAAAAGTAGAAGTGGCTAAATAAATGCAAAAGGACGTACAAAAGCTCACTGAAGAAAATAATTCCTTAAAACTTTGAATTGAGCAAATGGAAGCTAATGACTTTATGAGAAATCAAAAAACAATAACGCAAAACCAAAAGAATGAAAAAGAAATAGGAGGCAATGTGAAATGTCTCGTTAGGAAAACAATTGACCTGGAAAAATAGATCTAGGAGAGATAATTTTAAAATTATTGGACTACCTGAAAGGCGTGATCAAAAAAAAAAGAAAAGAAAAAGAACCTAGACATCATCTTTCAAGAAATTATCAAGAAAAACTGCCCTGATATTCTCAAACCACAGGGTAAAATAGAAATTGAAAGAATCCACTGATCACCTCCTGAAAGAGATCCTCAAATGAAAACTTCCAGGAATATCATGGCCAAATTCCAGACCTCCCAGATGAAGAAGAAAATATTGCAAGCAACCATAAAGAAACAATTCAAGTATCAAGGAGCCACAGTCTGGATAATACAAGATTTGGCAGCTTCTACATTACAGGATTGGGGGACTTGGAATATAATATTCTCGAGGACAGAGGTGGTGGGATTACAACCAAGAATCACCTGCCCAGTAAAACTGAGTATAATCCTTCAGGGAAAAAATGGATACTCAAAGAAATAGAGGGCTTTCAAGTATTCTTGATGAAAAGACCAGAGCTGAATAGAAATTTTGACTTTCAAATATAAGACTCAAGAGAAGCATAAAAAGGTAAAAGGAAAGAGAAATCATAAGGGATTTAATAAGGTTAAACTGTTTACTTTCCTACGTGGGAAGATGATACTTGTAACTCATAAGAACTTTCTTATTATTAGGGCAGTTAGAAGGGTTATATATAGACAGAGGGCATAGGTGTGAGTTGAATAAGAAGGGGATGAT